ACCGCTAGCCTAAAAGGAACAGCAGCTGCAGTGCAATTTACGGGTAGTCACGCTCACGAACTGGCGTCGTCGTTGGAGAGTCACTATCAGTTTTGAAAGAACAAGGCTCTTTTTTACATGAAGAAGCGCCCGCACAGTACTGTCACTGCGGTGCTCCCAAGCGAAAATGTTTAAGGACTCTTCTTGATAAAAAGCTGTCATAGCAATCGCACGTAAATTATGTTGTTGTGAAGGTCAGCACAAACTCCGTACCTTTTACTTTGTGCCAAAAGCAAACTCTCGTCGATCACCAAGCGTCACTAATGTTTGTTGTTTTATCGGCTATATAAGACATACTCGTCCGCAGCTTGGGCTTACAGGACTTGTTGGCAATAGAGTGTCCGCTTTAAACTGTATAAAACAAGTTGCTGCGCGTCATGAGGGGGGCACCGTGATTGTTTGTTATTTTATGCAATGCTGCCACCTATAAACGGCTTACCAAGCTCGTATTCGATTATCGGCAAAAGAGGCTTAGTTATGAACCAAGGGAGCACACGCCATCGTCGTCAGTGCAGTATAATATAAATTTTTATTGTATCTATAAAAGGTGTTAGGCCTGAAGTAATACTTTAAATGGAATGAATTGTTAAAGGTTGAGCCTTATTACTACGCTGTCGCCCTATTGAGCTCAAAAATTTGGTGTTTCCTAACCGGACTGAGCACTAGGGAATATCGATAAAAGTTATAAAAAAGCAAATTTATTCATATTAATATTTGCCTTTCCTTCCGAGTCACGTGGCATTTAACAACACTATATATATACATATATTGTTAGATTTCTCACCACGTTAAAAAGCGGGCGCCCGCCTCAAGGGGGAAGAAATCATTTATTGAGGTATCGAGTCTTTACTTTCCCCGTTCACCTTTTAGCGTGGTGGAAATCTACAACGACTGTGAATTATGTATATACTTAAGAGTAATGTCTCAAGTTAACTAGAGGTACCCGTTTTAGTTTGGTACAAGTGTTTCATTTTTTGATACCAATTTTGTCTTAAACGGAAAAAATGCTCGTGAATGTAACAGGTAAGAAAAATTATAGGCAACTAAAATGATGTCCAGAAAAGGGTGCTTTAATAAGTATAAGATGCGGGGCACCATGAACGAACGTTGCCCCTTAAAAAGTTGGCCATCATTGCAGCTTACGACCATTATACAACATTCAAGGCACAATCGACTGAAAGTTAGCGTAAGCGTAATGTTTAACTCTATGGAATTAATAGTAACAATAAACCTATGAATTATGGCGCAGAAGGAATAAAAGACAGTGTAAAAAATTCTCTACAAAAGTTAATGCGCTTCCTGTTTTTAGCAGATTAGTGCATTATAGCACATGTGTTTAGGGAGGACTAATTGGTTTTTTTTTAAAGCAAAATTCTCATTTTTTACTTTTAGGCTAACTCTTTGCCCTCGGCACGAGTTGTTTAATATAGATTGACTGTAGCGCCTACGCGATGTGGAGGTAGGAAAGAAGCAGAAAAGATTTACTAATTTGCTTAAAAGTGAGGTAGAAGGCGTGTTATATATTCAAATACTCATTAATCTGAATAAACATTAAAAATGGGTATTTGGTTTTTAGAATAGCCGAATTGGCTATATTTATCACAAGACGCGCGTGCGTCTTGTAAATTTATACTTGACCCGAAAAAAAAAATTAGCATTTGAAGAAGGTTTTCTTAAAATGTAATCTTTAGAAAGGTGAGGAGTAGCTATATATATAAGTATAAACAATGCCTAAATTCTGGGCGGCCGTAGAGTATTTATATTTTGAAAGCAGTAAATTATAAAATGGTCACCAGAGGACACCCTGGGTTTAATGGCCATAATAACCCCTTCGAAAAAGGCGATATTAAGGAATCTAAAGAATTAAACTTAACTTTATTAATGATTTGTTAGGATTCGGTACTTTAATAAATGATTTCCTGCCCCCTTAAAGTGGGCGTCCACTTTCTGACTTGACGGATAATCTAACACGACTTAAAGAGGAATGGGAATAAAACTAAAAAAGCGAAAGTGAATATAAAAAAGTACAAGATATTTTGCTGAAATTATCCATTTCGGTGAGAAATCCAAAAAGTAAAATATAAGGCGACATATGTTAGGGTTACATGTTTATTTAATTAACACAACATTATTTAAAGTCCTTCTAAACCCCATTTCCCCCCAGCCCCTCCACCCACCCCCAAATCCGATAACTTATTTTTACAACTTCTATAAATCAGTACTTAAGACTGAGTCGATAAAAGCAGCATTTAATACTGTTATATTCAAATTAAATAGTGCCCCCGTACTGCCTAGGATATTAAACTTTTTAGGGTTTCTAAGCATGTTCTGCCTTTGCCTATGTTAAGTCCTGATTTGAACCTCGTCTCTACTGAGTGTTAAGCTCTGTTCTCGTTTATTCTGAATTTTTTTAGATTTACTGGTTTATTTACATATCTACTTTTGTTAAGTTTCCTTTTTTGTTGCCATCCTTTCGGTATTAAGACTTTGGTCTATTCTTATTTCTACCTTTTGGCACTTTGCTAACTACTAAAAACATTACGATTAAAATTGTAACAGTAAATTATAAAGGTTTGCTAAGGTAGTTAGTGATTTAGGAACAGAATTTATCATCTAGATTTTTTAGGTGTAAAATTAAAAAAGTCACTAATTCTGCAGTTTATCAAACTTAACAGTGCGAGGTTCAATACGCAACCTTTATAGACCGAAAAAGAGTAGCGTTGTTGATGAAACAACCCTTAATTTGAAGTATTCTCTTTTATTAGCGTTGTGTAAACAATTTGAGTCCCTAATACAAGCAAATCAGCTATTATAACACTCGTAAAAAATTTGTTCTTAGTAGTTCAAAAAGAAGTAGTAGAATTAAAAGAGTGTTTACGGAGTGTTTATGGAGTATTAAAATGAATTACGCCGTTTACATATTCGTCTATTTTTTTATTAATAATCAACCTGGCGTTAGCCTCGCAATTCTCGACCTCATCAGCCTTTTGTCGGCAGTTGGTTAAGTAGCTGAAGCAGTGATAATTAATCGTTTAAAAGCCGTGGTGGACGCTCGTGGGATTTTACCGGAGTTTCACTTCGGTTTTCGGAAGGGACACTCCAAAACATTCTTCATCTCATTCTAGTGGAAACTTTTGAGCGGGTATGGTATGAAGGCCTGTTACGCGGACAGCATGCTTTGGCAATCACGCGAACCTTCTAGATGTGCTCAGTCGTACCTGGATGCCCGAGACTTAAAAGTGCAAGTAAGCGCTTCACTGCCGCTGTCTCGGCACGTCGCAGCAAGGGCCTTGGAAAGAGTTTCTTTTATCGCCACTGCTATTCGCGCTCTATAGGAGCGACTTAACTTTGCCACGGCTTACTTACACTGGGCGCTCTTACGCCAATATTACGATAAATTATTCTTAGTCAAAGTAGCCTGTTATCATGTCAGCTAATTCATCTTTATCTCGACACGCTAGCCAGCTAGTGCCGTCAGTGGGACCTTTCCATTAACGCAGCAAAGAGCAAGAGGCTTCTTATAACCAAGAAAAGTCTTGCGCTACCGACATCGTTGACGCTCAAAGGCATGAAAGTTTCGTAGTGCCCTTAGGTGAAATACTTGAGAATCAGGTCAAATTTAATTGTCGTGGTGGCAAAGGTCAAGTTAGTGGACCCGGATGCTTAATTCTCTATTATGCAGTATAAGTAAGGTTTCGTTGCGTCATTAGCGAAGGCTTCATGTGCTGAGCATTCGGCCCGGTTGTGACGTGTGCTGACATCTGCTGCTTGACCTACTACTTATCTGCAATAGTGTCCTCGCATGAATAAAATAAACCGCTGCGCCTTCAACAAACCCCGGTGGTTTGTGCGCAATGATACAATTCTCCACGAAATACAGCTCGAGTTGCTGGCTAGTATCTTTAGAATGATGACGGCACGGATAGCTGGAGATTCCAATCACTTTTTAGCGGAAAAACTTACGAGTCGTGGGACAACGCTCAATTCCGTCGCCCACGTGGCCTTCGTAAGCTAAGTTGTGAGTGCAATTCGAATTTAAGGTACATTTTGAAATAATAGTTTTACTTGTTCTCTTCCTGTTTGAGAGCTCGTGTATTCGAAGTTAACTCGATTCGAGCAGCAGGAATTAATAAAATAACTTCAGCTTCACTATCGAAATTATTAAGTATGGTTGCAAAGTGATATAGTAAAAATGAATTTTAACACAGGTTTTTTATAAGGGCAAGATTTTTAAGAGAACTTATAATTAACACTTTCGCAGGGGTCGCTATTGAAGGCAGCTAAATTGGCAGAAGCTAAGAAAAAATTGGATAAAATTTTAGCCACAAGGGCACGGCGCGGTTGACTGCTCAAGTGGCAGCTGCGATACCTCTGGCGTTTGGTAGCTTTGCCGGCAAGAAAAAAAAATGGATGTATGCGTATGGCATGAGTTCTAAAGTGAGTAATTTACATTTAAATCACTTAACTGGATAATAAACAGTCTCAGTATTTAACACAGCTGTCCAGTGTCCTTTACAAAAATGATTTTTAACTCTTGTTTGCATGGAATTTCGCTTTAATAAATTTATTGAGTCATGAAAGGCCCGAGTTAGAGAAGTGGCTAATCTGGAATTCTTGTACACTAACTTATGGTCATTTTTCTGAAGAATGGCAATTTAACAATGTTCTTATAAAACAATTAACGAAGTTTCGAAAACATCTGTTTGGTCAAACTTATTACCTTAAAAAAAATTAACTGAAGTATGCAGCTTTAACAATGAATTAACAAAATGTTTTGCATTTAAATCTTCCACCAGAAAGGCGAAACTTTATCGTTCTCAAAAGAAAAGCCTTCGAGACCGTGTAGCCCATACTGAACTACAGAGTTAGCCCCCAGTGATAAGGTGATACAGATTCGCGCCCTCGCTTCTACTATCAGCGTTTTTTAAGTTATAACCTGTCTTCTTTTTGTTACAGGAAAAATGCTTGTAAGAGTAGCATTTAAAAATGTAAACTTATTCAAATACTCGAACACTTTGCACTTTTTCTCCACAAATTCGGTAAGTTTTCACGACGCGCTAATTTTGTGTTTTTTATTTTTCTTACTGGATTTGTTTTTTGACTTTGTGTTTTAAATATCGAAAGGGTTATGAGGCGCTAAAGGGGCGTCTAGAAGAAATCATTCCTGTAAAGAAAGAAGAAGTGAAAGAATTAAAATCAAAGTTTGGACATGTCTCACTGGGGGAAATAACAATTGAACAGGTAATTTTTTACTTTTGCTTTAGCCCGTATGACTTTATTTATTATTTTAAATATACAGGCATATGGTGGTATGCGGGGAGTTAAATGCCTTGTTACTGAAACTTCCGTCCTTGACCCATTAGAGGTTTATAGTTCGCCATTCCAGGATCCTTTTTTTTTAACTGGTGTTATATAATATTAAAAGGGAATTAGGTATAGAGGCTACAGTCTTCCCGAATTGCTGAATAAACTTCCTAAAGCCAAAGGAAGCGCTCAACCATTACCGGAATCTGTCTTTTGGCTGTTACTAACTGGCGAAATTCCATCGTTCTCTCAAGCAGAAGTATTGAGTTTTAAAATAGAACGTTTTACAGCAATTGTGGCTTATTTACTTATAACCACTTTATAGGCCTTATCGAAGGAATTTGCTTCGCGAGCAGATCTTCCAGCACATATTGTTCAGTTATTAAATAATATCCCGGCTGATCTGCATCCTATGAGCCAGCTTAGCGCCGCAGTTACAGCCATGAACAGTGAAAGTAAATTTGCGAAAGCATATGCTAAGGGGCTTAAGAAAAGTGAATATTGGCGTTACGTTCTAGACGATTCGATAGTTACTTATTACTTTTCTCTTTCTCTGTTTACTTTGTTACTGTTATTGAAGGATTTGATATCGAAACTTCCCGTTGCCGCTGCCATGATATATAGAAATGTTTTTAAAGACGGTAAAATTAAAGCAGTTGATTACAGTGAAGACTATGCTCAGAACTTTGCCTCACTATTGGGTTATTATATACAATATTTGGGCACCTGTTTTTGTCATTCTTACTACCTTAATTTAGTTTCTTTACTACTTTTTTAAACGGTTTTTTTAAGGCTTAGTTTCCGGATTACACTTCTACTACAGAGCTTGAAGAGACTTTTACACTTCTTTTTTCTAAAGGGTTTGACGATCCGGGCTTTACAGACATGCTTCGTTTGTACTTAGTGATCCACGCTGACCACGAGGGTGGTAACGTGAGCGCCCATACGACACATCTTGTCGGATCGGCGCTGTCCGACCCGTACCTGGCTTATGCTGCCGGTTTGAACGGATTGGCTGGCCCCCTCCACGGATTGGCAAACCAACAAGTCTTACTTTGGGTACACTCCGCTTTATTGAATTTTTTAACCAATAATCATCTTGTTCCAAGGAAACTTATTAGACAATTTGTTTATAAAAAGCACATCTTTTGAATTACAAAGTTTTATTTTAGTATTTCATTAATTCTTAGCTTGATTTATTTACTTTATTCAATAAACTTCTATATATATTTATAAATTTCTAAAAGTTTATAACTATATACTGAGTTTTTATTGAAAGTGTTATTTTCTAATTTCTAACAATCTGTTAAAAGCTTATTAATTAGTTTTAATATTAATTTTTGTGGTCTCTAATTTTATTTGATAAACAGTTGAAATTTATATCGTTTATATATGAAAAGTATAACAACCCTGCTTATAGCTGGAGTTTACTACCTACTGTTGTGCTATAGTAATATCGTTTGTTTCACATCACGTGACCTTATGTTCTCATCTAGAAATCTCTTTCTTGACATGTGCTTCTTAAATATATTTTTTTTATTTTTTTTTACTGAATACGCTATTACTTTTTGCAGTTGGAAAAGTTTAAAAAACTGTTAGGCGACTCGCCAATTACTAAAGAAAAAGTTTCAGAAATCGTGTTGAAACTGCTTGAGTCAGAGAATGTCATTCCTGGTAAGTTTTGCTTGTAAGTGAATGTTTTATTCTACTGTACTGTATTTGAAATATTGCTCGTTCAGGCTACCAGTTTAACTCTTTCATAATAAGTTTTTTATAAAATCCATTTTAATTTAAAAAGGTTATATTTACTGCTGTTAACTTGAAAATTGATAGGTTTATATTATACTGTAGTTTAGGAGCTTTTTTTGTAGTTTTTCATTGTCCCTATTAATTGAGGCTATGGACATGCCGTTTTACGAAGGACAGATCCTCGTTACTTGTGCCAAAGAGAATTTGCGCAAAAGCACCTGCCCGACTACTCTAATTTCAAGTTAGTCTCCATCCTCTACGAAGTGGTCCCGGATATACTGGAAAGACAGGGTCCACCTTCTTCGATACGACTTAATAGAGTAGCTACTACCAGCAGTGCTCATTAGTAAACGTGCAAAAAACAAAGAATACACCTTTTTTTTAAGTTGATTTTCTTGCGGTGACTTAAGTATTCTCTTCTTTTCTAGGGAAAGCTAGGAACCCTTGGCCCAATGTCGATGCTCACTCAGGCATTCTTTTACAGCACTACGGCTTAACGGAGCCAAATTTTTATACTGTTCTCTTCGGCGTTTCGCGCTCTTTGGGCACTTTGGCCTCACTTGTCTGGGATCGCGCTTTGGGTCTTGTTTAATCCATTATATCTGTTTCATGTTGCTTGAGGCTGTTTATTATAAATACTCTGTACGTTTTATTAGAGCTTTAAAATATTGTTATGCAATATTATAAGCTGATTTCGTGGGTTACGCGCTAAATCTGTTTTTGAATTTTTTACCCAATAGGGTTGCCGCTCGAGAGACCCAAATCTCTGTCCACTGAGAAATTGAAATACTTAGTAACTAATTCCTGAACACCACTGACTTTATATTTGCTTCAATAAACAAAAACTATCTTATCGCTTATCGTTACCATTTGCCTACCGAATCGCCTGGCATCTCCAGTTTATGTTTGTAAAAGCTTGCCTGCACGCAAAAAGAGCGGTTGCTCTATTGACTTCTAGAATAGAGTGGTATGAAAAACTTAGGAGGGAAAATAAACTTGTAATGAGAAAGTTTTAAAGCAAAAATTCTATAATTTACATTTTTCATAAAATATTTAGAATAATTAAATAGGCTTCTAGTATTAAGTTATTTTCTTTTGTTTAATTAAAGTAAACTTTATAACAATTTTTTCAGTAAATACTAAGAATACGAACAGTTCTCTTGGTAAGTATTCATAACACTCACTTATCAATGGAACTCGAAAAATTTAGTAGAGCCCTATTTTTTGCAACTTTTTTGTTCTCCGTTTTTCACCATGTAAGTAGGAAACTCCAAACTGTCACCAAGGTTGTTAAAAAAGGCCTGGCGTTGATTAATAACTTGCTTATTAAACTCTTACAATTTTTTTGTTAGCTGTGCTACTTATAGGTCGAAAAAAAGATATGCTTATGTAAAAGTGAGGAATTGCAAATTACGCGATTTTTTAAAAAATTCGTTAACAAAATTTAAGTATTTCTTCATAAGAAACTTAGGCGCTCACTAGTGTTTAGTTGTAATGACTTTATAGATAGGCTCGGCAACGGGAGATAAATTTTAAGTTATACCCCCTAGCCTTGTATTGACTAAGGAAACAAACTAAAAAGAAACTCGAGTAAAAAAAAATTAGTACTTAATAAGAACCCCTGAAAAAGAAAAATACCTTTCTAAATGCCAACGTTATCGCAGCGCTTGCCAGCAGCACAGTTTTAGAGACGTCGATACTGCGATTCTCTTATATTCGAAAAATTTTAAGTAGTCGTACGCGTCTTTGTAAATAGTTTGAAAAGCAAGAGTTAAATTTAGCCCTACTACAAGGCATTACTTCTCAGTTACTTATAACTAAAAAATACTTAAGTGTTGTCTTCTTTTTATTTAAAAAGCTCTGAACCAGACTATAATCCTTTGGAAAACAGGGGATAAACTGAATAAAACATATTTATAACTTTTAACTTTTATATGATTAAAAAAACATGATAAGTATCATTTGATATAATTATCAGCCCCTAGCTTTTTTCTCACCGAAGGAGGTTCAAACCTTTCGACATTTTGCAATAGAGTTAGCTCACAACCGGCAACACCCATTTAAACCAAGTAAACCTCTAAGTAACCCTCTAAGTAACCCTCTAAGTAGACCTAAAGGACTTTTTTTTAGCCTGTGCAACTCGACTATTTTTTACTTACAATTGGCAAACTTGGTTAAAGGCCTATTATAATTTTTTTATAACCTCTTTTCTCTTTATTTATTATTATTTATCTACGTGTTCCCTCTTTTAAAAAATGAGTCCCTCTACTGAAGAAGAGCTTCGAACCTTAAATGCTAACTTATTAGCTGTCAACAAAGAACTCAGAAGAGAGTTATATTAACCAAAGTAAACTGAATGAGACATAAAAACTACTCAGGAAACACTAAATTCTAATAGACGAAAGGAGCCTGTTGACATGTTGACTAATAATAAGGTTTACTCAGCTTTACGAACTCTAGAACAGCCGCAGACCTTTGAAATATTAGAAGAAAGCAAGAACTTAGTGTTAATCAAAAACGAAGCTCAACGATAAAGCAGGTTTTAGTGGTAATAGTAGTTGTTGTCGTAGTAATTACTCCTCATGATAGCGTTTCTATTAATCATATAGCCGAGAGCAACCACACTATTAGTATTAATAATAATTTAAGTAGTGGTTAAAATTTTAGTAATAGTAATGGTAGTAATGTAACTTATAATAGCTTAAATAAAAGTAAGGAGAGTAGCGAAATCTAGGGAGGCTTGGAAAGAGCCATAAAGCTTTACAGCACAGCGTAGACTCGTAGAGATGGATAGTGCTTCTGGCACTACTAAGAAAAACGAACGAATGAATGAAGCGGGATCGTAAAAGAAACATTCCCCCGTTACTCTATGCGAAAAACATAACTGGCCCTTACTAATACAACTTTTGTAAAACAACGGCGTGAATATCCCACGACAGGGAGATATCCGCCTTGTAATCAAGATATTTCCTTTGATAGCTAATGATAACAGCTCTATAGCAGCGATCAACGAGATCAGGAGTCTGGATTCTTTATATATCAACTATCTGAAGAAAAGCCCATCTTTCCTCCTTGGGATTTACTGTAAACTCGATCTTTCAACCGTTGAGGGGGGTTTGCGCGCTCAGGGCGTCACACCCCTTTGAGTTGCATGAAAGGCATAGGACATCGCCAACGGCGAAGGTAAGGCGTAATTTACCACTTGTTTTAGTACATGCCCCCAGAAATGAGAAACAAAAGGTGTTAGAAATGAAGACGATTTCTCATCTTCAAAGTCGAGTGGAGGAATTTTGACCAGTACCATCGTTATCAGACCTGTGAGCGCACCGCAAGCTTTTGCAATGCCACCCCCAATGCGTTAAATGTGGCGTGGACCGCTTAACAGCCCTATGCACGGACGCACGAGATATTCCTGCTGCGTGTGCAAACTGCGGTGAGTGCACACCACTAAATATCAAGGCTGGAAATACTATCCGCGGAAGGCAGCCAGCCAACCGCAAAAACCACTACGTCGGGTACTCACTACAAACAATACCGTTTCTCTGGGCGTCTCTTATTTTTTTTGCGTACCGTTCGAGGACAAAACCTCATCAAGGCTCGTCCACTATTCCGTTTATTCTAAAACTCTTGGTCACGCTTCTACTGCGAAAACTGATCAGCTACAGCAACAACCACTGCCAACTTAACAGCAGCTGTTAGCAATTTTAACCATGGATTTATCCTGCATGCTTGAAGCTGTGAAAGGACTAGAATACGTTTGCAACGGTTTATAAACCAAAGACGCGTTGCTGCATTCGAATATTATTCTGGAATGCGAATGGTATTCAGAGTAAGAAGCATGAGCTGCAGGAGCTGTTACAATGTGAAAGAATTGATGTGTGCGCCAAGACCGGATCGATGCACGCGGCGGGCGCGGCTCTCTTGGTAAACGGGGCGTTTAACATCACTCGATATCTCTGCCAGCTCTACAAAGTCTCGAGGCACTGGGAATTTTCCTATCTATGGCCGACCAGGGACTCGTGTTTGCGATCGTTGTCTACAAAACCCCTTGGAAGCTACTACCGCCCTCCCGATTTGACGCCATTTTTGCTAGTGACTCCTCTGCTGTTTTGTGCGGGGATCTCAATTGCAAGCACCCTTTATGGAACAGCCGAGCCGATAGTTCGAATGGCCACATCTTTGTGGCATATGCTGGTAAGCACAGACTGTAGACCATCAGCAACCAACACACTTAGCGATTACAGATACAATGGACGTAGTGGATTTCGCCGTACTAAAAGGTATACTTCTCACAACTGCAACTAAAGCGCTCCACGATCTGTTCTCCGACCACCTTCCAGAGTTATTCTCGATTTAGGCGACGAGAAGGACGCACCAAAGACTATCACCAACTTTGTTGCCAACTGGGACAAATATGCTGAGTTTTTAGAAACCACTCTCTCGCCGTGTCCATCACTGCCACCTACATCCACCCTGCTGGGTGATGCTGTCGCCTTATTCGAAAGCGCACTGAACATGGCTTGCACTACTGACACGATAACACGTGAAGTAACGTAACGCCCCGATCGCCTATCTGACTAACTATAGGCACTTATCTGCCAACGTTGGATGTCTTATCCGAGTGACCATGCCACAGAGCGCCGAAGACAAATGTGCGCTTAATCGACTGCACAGGTGCATAAGAAAGAAGCTAATGGCTTATCGAACAATAAATAGGAGGACAAGCTGCACCATATATCCGAATCAGGCAACAGCAGCGTTCTTCCTATTGTAAACTTGTTAAAAAGATCAAAATTTGGGTACTTCCACCACTAATGCCCCTTGTGAAGTAAATATAGTGATTGAGAGTGTTGAAGACAAAGCTACGTTTTCCCTTATCACCTTGCTACCCAAAACTTGCCAGCAGCTCACTTAACAGCCAATGATGCGTTTCATTAGCTGACCTTCCTTCTTCCTGATGTCCACGAACCACTTGAGCTGCAAATGATAACAATCTAGCGATTGTCAAAGCGCTGCCCACACGAAGAGTGTCTGGCCCCGATCGCATCACTTTTGAGATGCTGAAGAAATCGCCATTAACAAGGATGCATTATCTGCACCTCCTAGTAAAAGCTGCGATGGTCCTTAGCGCCTTTTCAGTTCTATGGAAGACGGCGACCGTTGTGATGTTGCCAAAGACACTTAAACCTGAATCAGTAACTAGCAAGTACCGACCCATCAGTCTCTTGTCAGCGGTCAGCGAAGTGGGTGAGGTCGTTTTACTGCGCCGCCTAAAAGAGGTCGTTAACACACGGGAACGCCTTGCCGAAACTTCAGTTTGGATTTTCGGCAAAGGCACTCAACAACTCAGCAGCTCCTCCGCTTAACTGTATATGAAACACTCGTGCTTTTAACTTTAAGAAGGCAACAGGCGCTGTCTTCCTGGATGTATAACAAAGCACTTGATCATGTTTGGCATGAAGTCTGCTGCACAAACTGCGCTCGTTATCCGTGCCTCATGCTCTTTACAACGTGCTGAAGTCATATCTAAATGACCGCGTCTTCAGCGTGCGCGTGGGGAATGCATAGTCGCCGCTGCGATCTCTGACAGCAGATGTTCTTCAGGTACCCCTTTTTTCGCACCTTTTATTTGCAATTTATAGGACCGACGTGCTATTGCCGTTAAATCCACTTTCACGAATGACCCTCTACGCTGATGATACGGCCATTTACTCATCATCGAGGTCTCCCGTCTTGCTATGCAAGCATTTACAGCGCTATCTTGACGCCCTTGCTGACTAGTGCCGAATTTGGAAAGTTTGTATAAATGCGAGGAAGAG